TCCATTCTGAAGGAAATCAACCCTGAGTGCTCACTGGAAGGACAGATCCTGAAGCTGAGGCTCCAATCCTTTGGCCATCTCATGAGAAGAGGAGACTCCCTGGAAAAGCCCCTGATGTTGGGAAAGTGTGAAGGCAAGAGAAGAAGGGGATGACAGAGGACGAGATGGATGGGCAGGGTCATCGAAGCTACCAACGTGAATCTGACCCAACTCCTGGAGGCAGTGGAAGACAGGAGGGCCTGGCGTGCTGTGGTCCATGGGGGTCACAAAGAGTCAGACACGACTAAACGACTAAACAATAACAACAAGAGTCTCATCCTTTGCATGGATGTTCTTGGAAATAAGCTGTACTGGGACAGATAAGGGGTCTCTTCCAGTCCTCCCCGCCTGGAGGAACCTGGGATTTGAACCCACGACCTCTGGAAGGCAAGCCACATGCTCTTAACACTGAGCGAAGGCCCTTCCCTAAAGAGGAAGGCACCTTCCCGTCTCACCAAGAAAGAGATCCAAAGACCCTCTGATGTGGCCAAGGGTCTAGTCCTCATTGTTCTGATTCAGTGTTGGAGAGGACTGAGGCCGGGTGAGCTCATAAAGCATTACCTGGCTCTTCTAAGGGAGCTGCTATCTTCATTAAAAAAAAAAAAAAATCTCCCTTGTTTATGAGACCAACTCGTTAGCTCGTCCAGCCCCATAAACCTGGAGGCAGTCTGAGAAAGGATTTCTCCATCCTTCATCTGGAGATGATGGGGATTGAATCCCGTGTCTTTCTGTGCCAAAATTTGGGTCAGGGGGTTTCTACCGTTCCTGCTGGCAACGCCCAGGGGGACTTGATGTCCCAATACTGTTTGCTTAGCTGCCACATTTGCTTGAAATTGACCGTGCTTTGAAACGGGTCCAAAATTCCCCTCTCTGTCAGGCTTGAGACTCTATCCCAGGCGCCTTGGAAATAAAAAACAAACAAACGAGTGTGTCTTCTTCTGAGGATGCCGCGAGGACAAATTCATCGAATCCTTTGAGATGGTTGCTCAGGGCGCACGAGGCTGCTGACGACCGACTGTCTCCTGTGAAAAGAATATTCAAAAAGCCGGGACGTTCCTTACCGTAGGCGCTTTGGGGCACGGCGGTGGGCGAAAAACTGCACCCTGCGATGAATTGGATCGTTTAAAAAGAGACCACAAGATTCTTTTGGTGCTAGGCTGAGACAAAGCGGTTCTCTGTGTGAGGCTGCGAGAATCTGGTGCCGGTCAGCAGGGGAGACAAGAAGGCTGACTCATCCTAAATTTTGTGCGTGATGGGAACGCGTACAAATCCATGGTCTTGATTGCGGATGCTTTGAACGAGTGGCTTTTTAATGTACAGTATATATAAGAGCAAAAAATAGCAGAGTTATGGATTCTTTGAAATGTGGGTCCCTTTTCTTTCTTTCTTTCTTTCTTTCTTTCAAGAGCAATAAAAACCGCAAAACCCTGAAGCCTGCTGCGGACCGTCTGTGCTTCAGGGTGCCGCAAAGTTGTTGAGGGTGGTTTCAGAAAGCAAAAGTGGTCTAGAATAAGGGGGCATGGAAAGGGGCGCCCCGGTGACGGAGCCTGGCATGGCCCACGGGCTGGCTGGACCCCTGCACGGAGTGCAGTCCCAGGAACGCCAGCCCTTCTTTTGGAAGGCCGGCGAAAATAAATAGCAGATCTGTCTTTAGACATCCTTGCTAGCGTTCTTCCCATAAAACGGTGGTATAGAGATAACACAACAACAACAATCATTTTGTTTTTGCTGTCATAGAGTGCTGCGAGGAAGGGGCCCCTGCCCCATACCTTCAAGGGGCTCGGCAGAGAAAAGAGAACCAGGAAGACGCTTAGGGCACAATCTTAAGAGACAAACCTATATACAGTACCCTTGCGGAAGCTTTTGTGGGGCATGTTCTTTGTGGCCCCCTAACCCTGCCCTCCCCTTCCTGGAGATTATTCCAGGGGAGAACTGGAGATACTCGTTGGTGCTAATGATCCTGACGGTGAAACCGTGGTGGTTATTCCTCGTTAGGTCCTCTCCAAAAAAGTCTGTGGTTCTGTGTCCTTTTGATTCTAGAGGGTTTGTCTGTCTAGCTGAACTCCGGCGACTTTCCTTCTGTCCCTGTGCTTGCCACCTCCCTCCCAGCCGCTCTGCTCTTCTGCCTCTACAGCACAAACGGCAGCTTGTACTTAGAGCATATTTTTGGTGATCTATCATCCCCCCCCCTTTTTTTCTTTCAGGGTAACATCCTCTCTGCTTTGACCACAATGACCCAGAGAGGTACAGCAGGCAGAGGGCGAGAGAAGGAGAGAAAAGGGAGCCAGTGCTTGGTCCAGGATCAGCTAGGGAGTTTCAAGTCTCATGAGAACTAGCACCTTGATTTCCTAAGTCCCAACCCAGCAGTTTAACCATCACACCGAGCTGTCTCTTGAGTCCTTCATTTTCCGTGTATCTCAAACCGTCCTTCAGACGTAACCCTGGTCCTTGAGAAATTTCCGGGTGCCCCCATTGCCTTGTCTGTCCAACGCCGCCCTCCTATTCCGTCCCGCCCGAAGCAACGTTGTCGGCCTTCAGAGGCGAAGATGAGCCTGGCTATTGTCTGAGGGGGCTTCCCTGCAAATAATCGTTAATGCATGCTGTGTGTTTGCACTACAGGGAATTATGCTAATCGCCCTACAAATGATGCTTTGAGTCGCGCCTAGAGGTTAATTAATGGGCCTTTCTTCTCTAAAAAGGCCTGCCTTGTCCGTTTAATAAATGCAGACGCCGTTTGTGTGGGGAGGGAAAGGTGGGGAGGAAGGAATATTGGCTCCTTCCGTCTCGTTCTGCAGCTTTATAAGAAGAAGCAGCAACGACAACTCCAATTATGTGTCTGAATATTACTGTAATTATTAACGATAATCTTTTGGCCCGCCCGCATTTCTCTTTTTCAAAGGAATTTTCCTCTCCTGGCTGCAGTAAGCGAGGCAGAATGAAAATGTTGACCAGTCACCAGTGTGGCCTAGTGGTTAGAGTGCAGGTTTAGAACTCTGGAGACTTGGGTTCAAATCCGAGGCAACTCATAGTCCTTCAGCCCGACCTACCTTGAAAGTAGGGTCATTTTTATGAGATAAAAATGGAGGGAAGAAAGCCATCTGTACTCTCTTGAGCACGGTGGATGGAAAATAGGGTGTGCATTTTAAAAGCACATAAATAAAAGAATGTCCTCCCTTTAAGTCTGAAGGGTGGAACCTGAAACTATGAGCCAGTATTCTTAAATATCTTATATTACCATATTCATCCTCCTGTTATGTTTTTTTTCCCTGTGTATAAACAATTCAACCATTTCTCTTTGTGTTGGAAATACATGAAATTTCCTGCTTTAAGAATGGGAAAACCATAAACAATAAAGTAATATTATATTTATGCAAATCCTCATTGATTCCTCTGAGAAAAGCACCCTGCAATT